ATTAAAGATTAATTCTGCTTTCATATCTGACTTAGTATAAATCGGGGAAATCTCCCTTTCTAAAGGAAGTGCTACCCAAATTTTTACTAATTCAAAGAGTAAGATAGAATTTGACTTTCCAGGAGTTAGAGATTATTTCTGCTTCCATATCTGGGCTTGTATAAATTATGAAAATGCACTTTTCCTACGGGAAGCGCTGCCAAAATTTTCTTAGTTTAGAGGAGATAGATTATATTTTGATAGGTGATTCAGGCGATCCACCCAGGATAGGGGAGATTTTTGCAGTTAGTCTACCTTCAGCTTAAGCACTGACTTAAAAGTAGACTTAGATTTAACTAATAAGGAAATTTTGAGTGAGTATGTATTATGGAGTTGTATTCTCCATACACTTATGATCTTAGTTTGGGGATTGGTCTGCCGTGTGTTACAGGTCCTTTTGATCATTTGATCCAGGTTCAGGGCTAGATCCAGCTTGATCCCTTGAGGATCACTTACTGTTATCACTGATAACAGATCGGTTGCCGATTCATCGGTCTACGACTCAATTTCAACTCTCCCTCTACACTCAACCTAAAAGGCTTTAGCCCTGGTGATTTTGTTGTTTTATTAAGGTTTCACCCGGACTTTTATTGAATAGCCATTTGACAAAGGTGCTGAGTATTTAATTAAGGTTGGTTGGACAGGAGGTTTTGGGGCTTGCAYGGYTAAAGCAAGGGGTATGAATGTCGAAGGTGGTTGGGGTTGACTCCGTSTAGTGTGTGGGCTGTTSATTTGGTTTGTTGATGTGATGGCAGGTATGTGCTGTGAATCASATTCTGGATTTGRTTGYCTGCGATCAYACAWATACGTATTATYGTGARAGACCCCAGTGAGACCATGAAAAATGATCGTCACATATTTAACTCTTATATATGTATGCATGGGTATACTTGGGATGAATGTTTGCATGGGTTGAAGAGCCCCCACATTGGAGCCCACTCAGGAGCTGAGACCGAGGGACTTAGGGAAGGTCTCTCCTTTTATTCTTGTCTCTTGCTTTTTGATGATTTTCTTAGTCGGACGTTTGGTCCTGGGCCAGGATTCGAGGTCCTCGTCCAGGACATCCCAAGCCCTAGGCTCTGCAGGGGAGGGGTTTTCCCTCGCGAAGAGCCTATTTGATTTGCCTACCGTGACACTCAGGTCGAGAGCCTGAGGTGCCTCGGCGGCTGCACGACTATTCCTTCAGCCGTACAATGTCGTGAAGGGTTAGGCCCTCACGACACTTCAAGTCTAACACTTGTGTGTCATAAGCGGTACTCGAATCCACGAGGGACCACTTGATTATGGGCACTACATAATACGCCATCGTTGCGACTGATTGTGTACGCCTGCATTGCAAGTCGATATGAGTATGCCCTGCGTCCGCGCGGTTTTATACCAAGTTCAGCGCGCGACACCTATCCGATTTCCGCACTGGGAAGTTATGGGTCGGCTACCGAGGGGCTAGGAGCATTGTCGCGTTGTTGGTATTGTGTCGTTTCGTATATATGTTGTTTTGTGTGTATGAGTGTTCGTAAAGTGGAGTGCGCGTGGTGTGTGGGATGCGTCCTAGTCGACCGACGATGAGTCGCGCTTGGGACTTCAGCCCCCCCAAGATGTCGGTTCGTGTGTGGGTCCGATGGAGGCGTATTACCGCACGTACCACCTATGCTACAGCGAACGAGAAACGCCCTCGGCTGGTCCACCTCTGCGATTGCAACAGATTAGCTTTCGTACAATGGACTGGTAGCTCGGCGGGGATACGCCCATCGAAGGGAGGTGACAGCTCCCGTAAGGTGTAGGTAAGTCGTGCCTCGCGTAGGCCCTATCCTGTCGTAGGGGCTTGCGAGAGGTATGGCTGGCGCACCCGGCCGGAGCGGCTCGTGGAAGCTCCATGCATATTGCGACGAAGGGTTCTAAAAACCAACTCCTGCGTGACGCGGCCGGGAGGGTCCCGCGCAGCCCCCGTGCGGTGCCGGACCGATGCGCCCGACAACGCTATCTTGTGCAGCAGACGGTTGACGACATTTATGACGCAATGATTGCATCGGGTGAGGCTGCTATGAGAGAGAGAATGACTGGAGCTGCCGGTGTGAATATCTGTAAGTTGTATGAGAAACCTGTCCTTTTGTTGGTTGCCCTCTGTGATACATTGCATACTGACGCTTCAGGGAGGATTGTGAGAGCAAGGAGGGTGTTGCCCGATTATTTTGACCTCGAATGTGTGAACAAGTACTACTACTACCCTCTCTGCGGTCAGCATAACGTGGCGGCGGCAAGAAGGTGTTTTGTTGAACGCCCTGACATCGCACAAGAGCTCCGATTGGATCACTGGACTGCGAGGCCTGTTTATTATCCCGATAAGAGCATGAACAATTACGACACGCTGAGCACTTTCCAGAACTCCAAGGACAAATGGAGTACCCCACCGCACCAGAACGTGGTCGTCCAGAACATACGGAAGTTGTGGCACGAGTCGAACTGTCCTTAAGCTAAAGGCGGCTCAGCGGCAGAAGTGAAAAATGCAGAGTATAGAAAGTTTGCAGGAGAGGCTCTTCGTTTGATCAGGATTCGTAATTTGATTGACATGTCCCTTCCTACTCAGTGGAGCGGCCAGTGGTCTGAGGCCCTCGGGCCCTACATGTTGTTGGCAAGGGCGACAGATGACGTTTTCGAAAAGGTGAAACTTGTACGCCGCTTGGGAAGCTGGACAATTGTCGGGGAGAGATGCTGTGAAGCCTGCTACCAAACAAGGTGAATCAGGGAAGGCACCGAGGGCTGGACCCGGATTTGAGTTGAAAGGTGGAGTTAGGTATCCGGTTCACTGGGTTCAGGGTACCAAAGGACCTGGTTACCTCGTGGTTGTGCACGATCCGGATATCAGAGCATGGAAGCCTTTTTCAGTGCTTGGGAGGCGTGAGCGGCTGCAATTGTTGCGAGACATTCTCACAGGCAGTGTAATACCGACTCCTAAGCAAAGTGAAGCTGCTCAACGTGCCGGGAAACATTCAACGGAAACATATGTGGAAATGGTGAAGATTGAAAGAGCAATGTTGAGGATGTTTCACTACTTCGTCTTCTTTTCTGACCCTCACAGGAAGTCGGCAGAGTGGACGGAACCATTCTTCAACAACCTTTCCGATTTGTTTGATAAGTACGCTGATGAAGGATTGACGTCCGAGAGGTGGATCGACCAGCGTCGCCATTTCAAAGAGATGAGTTGGGTGCGAACGTTCCCGGCTACACTTGGAGAAGACGAGGAAAAAGGAGAAGAGGGCTTCAAGAAAACAACATCACTTGCTGTGAAGTGCCCCGAAAAGTTAGTGCAGTTTGTCAATAAACTGCTGCGCAGATCAGAAACCAGGGGTTCGGAAAGCATAAGAATGTCGGGCTCGGCGCAATATATACATTTCAAAAGACAGAACGTGAACTCTGTTTTCGTCCCGTTCCAACGGGAACCAAGCGATATTTCAGACGAGATGGATTCCAAGGAAATATATAGAGTCGTCAAACATCTGAGTTGCCATACGGCCGTGCTGGATTTATGTCACCCAACCCAGATAGGGGTGTGGACTGAAGAAGTCTTTGATGGTCTGCGGAAGTTCATGGGAAAACTGGCTGGTGATTATTAGACATTATTGTGCTTCGTTCCGCGGTCTTGCGAGTATACATTTTTCAAGCGAGTTACAAGTTGGGAGATTGACATTCACTTGTCTATTCTAAAGTGGACTCGTCAGCTACAAACGAAGGCGAAGCATTTATATAAGGTTGCAAACTTGCCTTTGGGGGACACAGACAGAATGGTTGTCATCATGTACTCCAACGATGGGGATTATCACCGCAACACTATTCCCTTGCTTGAAGACATTCCAGCAAACCCTCCAGTTGCAGATCGATCATCTGGTGAGCAGGCGGGTGACTTATCAGCACTTGTGCGCAGAGAGAGAAGGCCAAAGATGTTGGCTGATGTCGTGGAGAAGAACTTCACGCCCACGAAGTTGAAAATGGCAGGTATGGAGCCAAAAGAGAAATTGGTGTACGAAGGTATAGAAAGTGCGCCAAATGCGATGGTGGAGACATTGGAGCATTTTTGTCCTGCGGATGAGGCGGTTGTTTTCCTGGGAAAAGGCCATGCGACGTTGATCTAGGAGTTGTTAAAGAATCACCGTCATTGCATTGTTCTGGAAGGGGAGGTTATGAAGTTCGAGTTTCTCGTTCAATTCGTCACCAAGATGGTCAAAAGTGGACTTTACCTCGCCAAATTTGTTAAGCCGCCTCCTCGACATGATGAAAAGCGTGATCTCGTCTACAAAGTTGGCAAAAACATCGTCAACATTTGGGAGTTCCTTTTCGAGACTAAGCCACAAAACAGAGGGGAACGTGCATATGTCGTCAGAAGGCGAAAAATGAAATCACTTCTAAGGGGGTATCATAAGGCACCGGCGGAGACGGAAGTTGCATTTCTAGACCGTTTGGAGATGATGTACTTCGACGAACAAATCGGGGCGTTTACAATCGCAGCTTATGCAACTTGTTTTGGGGAAGGCTTCGATGCTGAGGACTAAGAGGAAGAAAGTGAAGATGGTACTTCGCAAGCGGCTTTGGCAAATGAGAGGCAAAAAACTTGTAGCTTGGCTTCGCAGAAGATGGGTGCGCCAGGCACATCGTCCGGTTCCAGGGGGGCTTCGAGTATGGCAGTAACAACGGACCAGTTTCAACGGAATAGTTACATGGCGGGCAACACAACAGCGCTATCGTCCGGCGCAGTTCGGGATGATCCGAGGCTGCAGGCAATTCTCTCCCCAGAGGTTATGGCAAGTCTGTCAGCTCTTGCACATAGCCCGACTACTGTTTTGGAATTGCGACGCTCTCAAACTCCTCAACCACCTCCGTCTGAGCCTTTGGAGTACGAGATTGAAGACATCATCCCTCCGGACATTGCACGGCTTCGTGGACCTATTGTGTGCCTGGACGATTATACGGTGATGCCTGACAACGTATGGGGTCATCACATTATATGGAACCCCCACCACTTCCAACCTGCATTGGCGAGAGGGAACTGAGTAATGGCTATAAAAGAAGAAGGGGAGTGGCAATTTTGCCTTCACAGACGCATGTCACGATCCAAGTTTGTCGCACATGCCAAAAATGAGATTGGCAAGCGACTACTGCGACTTAATCCGAAGGTTTCTCAATCAAGACTGGATGCAAGGACAGAAGAAATCTTTGAGGAGTTCAAAACATCTGGATGGCTTAAGTATCTGGAAGAGTTCTATGATCGAGAAACAAGTCCAGCTTTTGGATATAATTGGCATATCGAAGAGGAACTTGAAGACAAAGTTGGGGAAAGGAAAGGAGCGAGCGGCGATGAGGGTGGCAAGGGATCAGGATCAGGCGGCGGTGCGCTTGGCAAGGGAACAAGATCAAGTGGTGGTGAACATGGCAAGGGATCGGAACCACGGGGCGGTGCCAGTGGCAAGGGCCTGGTACCGAGCGTCGGTGCAAGTGGAAAGCCAATAAGTCATGGTGAACTACAAAAACACGAAATGTGTCAAGGGCGTCAAACAACAGAGGGAAAGGTATCAAGACCAAGCGGCGGTGCACATGACAAGGGATCGGGTTCGCCTCTGGGATTAGGACCAAGCAGCGGTGCACATTGCAGGGGATCAGGTTCGCCTCTGGGATTAGGAGCAAGCGGCAGTGCACATGGCAGGGGATCGAGAGGCGATGCAAGTGGCCAGGATTTGGGAGGAAGCGGCGGTGCAAACGTCAAGGGCGTAAGTCATGGAGAACTGCCGAAATGTGTCGAGGACGTCCTTCCGGATGACCAAGTTTGGGCGACCACTGTGTTGGCGAGCGAGAGTGTTACTGCGCAAGTGGATAATATTGGTGCACTTGCAGAATTAGAGATGCCACTGGATATGCCAGCTGAGAAAGATGAACATGAAGTCTCTCTGGACATGAAGAATGAAAGCGCGACTGCAGGTGCAAACGAAACTGCCAATGTACAGNGAAAGCGCGACTGCAGGTGCAAACGAAACTGCCAATGTACAGGCCATCGAAGAGGATGAAGGACATATAGTACTAAGTACACGGGAGCAACATACGCTTGTACAGCCTGAACTTATGGTTGCAAAATCAGAAGCACAACAGTCTGCTAACCTCGTGATATCTATCGACGAATCTCCTTTTACACCATCGCATCAATATTAAAAATGTGTGTTTTTTCATCGAAAGTTTAGCGTACGTCGATGCATGCAACCAACTGTTGATTGTGTGTATATTTTCTGTTCGCCTCGGGACATGTCATGTGGTACACAGGAAGTGAAGGAAAAAAATAATTTTCGCTTATGTTACACATGAGATGGTATGTGGGTCAGTGTTGAACCCAATGTTGGCAGCGTGTAGGCCAGTGTTGAACCCAATGTTGGCAGCATGTTGAAATTTTATTGATCAACTGTTCAACAGCGGACGACATGTTGAAGTCGTGATGGGAGGTGGACCCCCGCGATTCCCCAAAAACGGCCTCACAACGCATTGTGGTGAATTGCGATCATTATTGATGTTGCCCAGTTAGTGTCCGTACCCGTATTCCTCTTCCATTTTACGCAGATACTGAAATGTATGAAGATATTGCAGTCGGGATATGTACATTTTGTCCTCTCTTCCACTACCTGAAATAGAGTATCCTTATTGGTTCACTACTAGGGGCCATTTTTCTTTTTTTCTCACCGTCGTGCGTTTGTCGTGGCTCACACTAGTGAACCACTTCATATACATGTTCTACACTTATGATGCATGTGGCACGAGATCTATGGTGATTTTGTCTTTACTACTTAGTTTAATAAAATAAACAAAGGAAATTGACAGTCCAACCTGTATTCACACAACAAGCTAAGATTGGGTAGAACCACTAATGACCACATTCTTTGTCCATCAGCTGTGAAAAGGTAGTTGTCAAGAACTCTTGCATACAACCGCTGGAAGCTACGAGTAAAAGAGGGTGGATGACTTTTATTATTAACATGTAGCTACAATATGAAAATGGCGGACGATCATATTATTCCGCAACAAACCACGAGATATTTGCATTTTGTTATGCATCGCAGTACCAGGAATTGACTCTCGTCATGGGATCACCACTATGGCCCATTTTTTTTGTTCTTCTCTCCAGTACCTGAAATTGACTCTTGTCATACATCCATTTTGTCATGCATCCCAATAGAAGAAATTGACTTTTCTCATACATCCATTTTGTCAATCATCCCTTCACCGGAATAACTTTATATAAATAAAAAAAAAGAAAACTGACAGCCAATCTGATATCGACACAATAAGCTAAGATTGGAAAGGACCACTATTGACCACATTCTTTGTCCATCACCCGTCAAAAGGTAGTTGTCAAAAACACTTGCATACAACCAATGGAAAAAACGACTAGAAGAGTGTGGAGGAATGTTATTATTAACATTTATATACAATATTAAAACGACTGACGATCATATAAATCCGCACAAACCACAAGATGGCTCCGATCAATACAATATGAACATGGCGGACGGTCGTCATTGTCAGAATCAGTCTCCTAATAAATACACACAAAAAATTCATCAAAACTCGCAAGCGAAACTTTGAATCATCTCTCTCTCTCTCGTTGTCTCTCTCTCTCTCTCTCTCTCTCTCTCTCTCTCTCTCTCTCTATTTCTGTCTCTCTCTCTCTATATATATAT